TAAGATTTTCTCTTATTTTACATTTTGCTTCCCTATATGGCTATATGAATATGTAAATATGTGTTTAACTACTACTATTTGCTTGGACTAGAGTTTTACATATGATGGTATATAATTTATTGTGAAATTATGTATACAGTTATTTGGGGATATAAATATTTCATGAATTCTGTCTTCAAATCCTCGAAAAGTCTGAGGATTGCTGCTATAAAAATATAATCTTGTTACTCTAAAAATTTCTCAGTAGGTCAAAAAGGCTAACGTGTATGTGCCTATGGTTAACAAGGAACCCGCTTTCTAAGGTTGCTCAAAAGACAGGATTAATCTAAACCCAACATTTACTGTTACATGAACAATGGTGGGCCCAGAGATGGATGTCACTTACCTTTGCTTTTCTGGTGCTTAGGGCAGGGTCAGRAACAGAGCAGAGCCTCAACCCTTATTTGCATTTTATACCAGATCTGTATGTATAAAAATAAAGACTTCAAAAGTGCTTGAATACTTGAAATGGCTTAAAAACCCAATCTCTTCAATCCATTTGCAGTTTACTTTTTTTTTTTTTATGAGTTTACTGTGGATGGGTGTAGTGGAGGGAGGGGTGTGGGGGTAGGAGATGGGAGGGAGGCTGGAGGGAAGTGCTGGGGATTGAAGTGGAGCAGGTTGAGTCCCACACCTTTGTGATTATGTCAGGTTGTATCCTGTGGTTGTATGTAACTAAAAAAATAAATTAATTAATTAAAAATAAAATCTTAGGGGAGTACTATCATAAAAAAGAAAAACCCCATCTTAGTTTCTCTTCATGTTTTTCTGTTTTCAAAGAATCATGCCTTGGTGCCACCTACTTTCAGGACCCCTCACTGTTGGGTAACTTGGGGTTGCAGTGAAGGCTGCTTCTGCCWATGCTTTCATACAAATGAGCATTACATCACCGTACTGCTGTACAGTTTTGGCAAAGCTCTGTGTTGGGCAGCATGAGGCTACAGGCATTAGTGGGCTATCATTGCTGTTCCTAGGGAGTTAATCTGGTGGGAGAGAGGGATACACAGACAACTAATTGTATTACAAGGCAGAAAGAAAAAGTGCTGTGGTTAAAGGATTAAAAAAAATGCTGTGGTTGCAGAGAGGAAGGAGTAATTAATTCTCACTGGGAAGATTAGGAACAAGGAAGCAAAGAAACTAATATTTATTAAGGGTTCAGGAGGTGCCCCAGGTGGGCTGGCGCTTCATGCTGGGCTCTGGGAGGAGGTTGCCTTTCAATTGCAGATTTTGGTCACTGGGACCCTGTGGGGGAAGGCCTGGGTTCAAGAGGCAAGAAGACTGTGGGAAGATAGCCTTCTTCCAGCCCAGAGAGAGAGAGAGAAAATAAGGCAAGAAACTCAACTTACCATGATGGGAAATGGGGTTAGTAAGAGGAAACAGGTGTCAGTTCAAAGAAGGAGATAGAGAATTCTAGGCAAAGGTAAGGAATTTTAGTAAGAAGAAGCTACGACATGGATGGGCATCCCCCCCATTAGAGGAAAGGGGAGACCTGTATTGATGTTAGCAGGGATCAATTATGTGAGCAGAAGGCAGGGATTTGGGGATGGAGTGGGGAGTTAGCAGAAGGACCCAGACCTGGTGTGAGCTCAGTGGGAGAATTATTCAGTTCCTTGGTTTCAAAGAAAACAAAGGCCAGTGGATGAACCAGCTAACTTGGCACACTTGGGTGCTTGGTGCTCACAGATCTAACAAGCATTAGCCTGTCCCTACAGGAGAAGGGAGCCAGTGTCAACTTGTTCCCTCTCTCCTGAGACTAAACTATCAACATTTGACAGCCCAGACTGCTTCAGCCCTGTGACATTCCCTGTAGAGCCTAGTAGTGGACTGGTCATGGGGCAGCCTTTCACCAAGTCCTAATTGATTCCCAGTGAGCAAGGACGTGAATTTCTGCAGTCATGTTATGAATTTTACAGAGTTGCAGAAATTTAACCTGAAAATTAGCCACACAGATACAGACAAAGGTTAGATCATTGAAGAGTTTACCATCAAGAATTATTTCTAATGCCATAATTTTACAGAAAGAAAACTGTGTCAATTGATTAACTTCTACTGTAATTTGTTAGCTGCTCATTATAGTTTCCTATCTTGACTAATGAAAACGTTTAGAGCTGCATCTTTATGGAAGCTAACTAGGACAGGCAGCTTGCCGGTCTTAGAATAATTAGAAAATTTTGCATTATCAGCCAGTGGGATGCCTGCCTCTCCTGGTGAAGCTTCATAGAATTTTTTTTTCTTTCTATTTCCTCTTCTTTCCCTCATTAGTGTCTGTTACTGAACTAAGCCCAACTCTGCACAATCTCACTATAAAAATATATTATAAACATTTATGAGGATGATCCAGCTGAATCAAACTCTTATTCATTTACTCATTAGGTTGGTAGAAAGAAAAATTTTGTTACCATATGAGATAACTTAGGGGGAATTTATATTATTAGGTCTTAAAAATGTTTTCCTAACTTACATGGGATGTTAAGCCAGGAAAGGCAAATTTGGGTAAATATGCTCCCCCACCATCTTTCTTTGTCCATGATACATGTCTATAATCTGTAATACTGTCCTTTGCTCTTAGACTATCTATGACTTCACAATCCTTCTCAACACAGCATTATAAACAGTAAGAGGTTGGAACTGGCCTGGAGGATGAATTAAGCAGGTAATTGTTCCTACCAGACTATAATCTCTTTAAGAGAAGAAACTAACTCAATGGCTTGTTTTTTTGTTTGTTTGTTTGTTTGTTTTTTCAGGGTTGGGGGTAGTGAACCAGGATTTGAACTCAGGGGCACTSGACCACTAAACCACATCCTGAGCCCTAATTTGTATTATATTTAGAGACAGAGTCTCACTGAGTTGCTTAGTTCCTCAGTTTTGCTGAAGCTGGCTTTGAATTTGTAATCCTCCTGTCTCAACCTCCCCCTGATCCTCTGGGATTATAGGCATGTGCCATAGCACCTGACTGGATAGTTCTTAATGAATGATTGAACAAACAATGGGAACATATATGAATGTGTTAATGGATGCAGAGTGAATTTTACTTTTTCTATTTTTTTTTTTTCATTCTACAGGAATGCTTGCAGGATTCCTCCATCTCCTTCCTAGGAAATGCACTGTGTATGTCCACATACCTAGTGGACACCAGCTCATAGACCTTTAGCTGGAAGTAACCCAAGAGAGTATCCATGGCCAACTTTTCAATTTACAAAAATGAAAAGAGGGTGCAAAAAGGACATTCAGCTATAATGCAGGCTCTCAGGCGTGGGAGGCATTCTGCTGCATTCCACATCTGACTAATGTCCCTGTGTGGCCTCCGTCATTTTCTTTGCAATTTCATCCATAAAATGGGGGAGAATGATTATATCTGCCTTGTATAGTTTTGTAAATTTTAAACGAGATAAGAGATAAGGGGTACAAAGTGAATAGTATAGTGGCTGGAACATGGTAAGTATTCAAAAAAAGTTAGTTTTTCTCCTTTTTTTCATCTCCTTTTTTCTTTCTTTTTTATTTCTGCAGTTCTTGGTATTGAATCTAGTGGTGCTCTGCCACTGAGTTACATCCCCAGCCCTTTTCATTTTTTATTTTGAGACAGGGTCTCACTAAGTTGCTGAGGCTGACCTTGAATTTACAATCCTCCTGCCTCAGCCTTTTGAGTCGAGTAACTGGGATTGCAGGGTGCATCACTGTGCCCAGTTCCTTTTTATTTGTATTAGCTGAACCAGTGATTTATTACAAGTAGTTTTATTGTCAGGTTTATCATGTTACATTATACTTCATTTTTTTCCAACTCATTTTTCAATGAGTTGAAAGCTTTTTTGAGCCATCCTTGTTATATATAAATCGAAAAGACAAAGAGGATATAAGGAATAAATTTGTAATAGATGAGAAGAAAACACTTTCTGTGCAAAAAACATAAAATTCCAGAATCTCATGCCATGCTTCCTTCCTGGGCTAATCACATTGTTTCCTGATATGCTTCCTAGAAAATAGGTTTGTAAAAATTGTCTTCCAATCATACAGGATGCAGTTTTATACAAATATGAGTTTGCTGACCTGTTCCTTTAAAAAAATAACTCAGCACGCAGATTGTGCATTCAAACCTTCAGTTCACTCATTAGTTGGGGAGGAAAAGTTGGGGCTGGTTTGATGCTGGTTGCCAGGAAACATACAAAGGCCTCAGAAACAGATGAAACAAAACAACTCCACATTGCTGGGAAGGTGGCCTTCGGGGGCAGGCACTTCACCAGTGGGGGAACTTTGCAGCTTCGTCCTCTAATGTCCCCAGACAAGAAAATGGAGTCGAAAACCACAACTTATTAATGTAAGCAAGGTTAGCCACAGAGATCTTGAGTAGTTACTTTTCTAATGCATTTAAATGAGGATCTGAAGGTGTTTCAGTGTCAGTGGCTGTAATTATGGGAAGCTTTACACATTTTTAATCAAACAGTAAAAAAAGGGGACTATGGGTTTTAAACTATGGAACTCAAAGTGGGAGGGGATCRAGGATTTTCATTTCCTACCTTGGCTTAGACATTTTGCCTTCTAATGATATGCCTTGAAAGGGTGGTGCTTTTTTATGGGGTGGTGGTGGTGACCAGGGATTGAACTCAGGGCCATTCGACCACTGAGTCACATCMCCAGCCCTATTTTATATTTTATTTAGAGACAGGGTCTCACTTAGTGCCTCACTTTTGCTGAGGCTGGCTTTGAACTCACGATCCTTTTGCCTCAGCCTCCCAAACCGCTGGGATCACAGGTGTGTGCCACCATGCCCAGCTCTTTTGGAATTTTTGCTTGTTTGTTTGTTTGTTTTGGTGCTGGGGACAAGCACTCTACCAACTGAGCTATATCCCCAGCCCTTTTTGTGGGATGCTATTGCTAAATTGAGTTTCTTTTCAAAGGCACCTGTTGAAATGGGGGAGAAAAAAGCCTCAGAAAGAATTGAAGGCCCCCAAAGAGATGAAGCTATGATGAGTTACCAAAATGCTGCACTTGATTTAAGCACTGGCTCCCAGCCTGAGCCAAAGAGCCCAGAGAGGACAGAAAGTGTGACTGTAGAGAGAGACTATGGCACAGGCCTGCTTGAAAACCAGCTCAGCGTGGATGACTTTGTGAAGATACAGAGGGCCTTCGAGGTAAGCGTCATGCTTGTAGACCAGAGAGTTTGAGTGGTTCACAAAGGACACTAGGATGAATCAGAAAGAGGCTTCTTTTAAAAAGTATTTTTAATATATTTAATGATTACAGCAGGGAATTGAAAATAATGAGACCCAGCTTTAACATCATGTACTTGTTAACTTTATCCCTCAGTTCTCTGGGATGAATAATAATACTTAGTTTGAAATTGCTGCACATGAATTTTATTACTGTCAAGGAAGGACAATTTATTCTTGGGCAACATTTGTTTTTGAAATCAACATATTTTGGGGGAAACCAAAAATTTTGGTTATAAATGAGAAAAGCCAGATTACTGAGGTAACCCCCAGTAACTATTCTTGTATTTGGTATGTACATAAAACTAAATAAATACAAATTTGAACATCTGGTTTACAGAAACTCTCTCCTGCCTCACCTGGAGTGGCACAACTCTTTTTCAAAGCTGATTTTGGCATTTTGTTGTCCCCAAGATCCCATACGAGGGACCTGCCTTTCATGCTTCTTGTWAATCCTGGAGCAATGCCCATAAAATAAAATTAGAAGTTTTCATTTTAATTCCACATAGAAAATAAACCATCGGAACTTAACTACAAATGAATAATTTCCTTTTCCCTATCTTAGTTAATTAATTTGAAATTCTGCAGCTATGCATAATGAACAGCATGTATCAAAGTGGTTTTAGTTTCAAATGTGGATAGGAAGAAATGCCCTCTGTACTGTGCAATTTAGGTAGACCTGAGCCTCCATCCTTTCTGTTTCATTATGTTCACTAAAATATGATCTCAGGGCTTCATAAAGTCCCCAAAGGGGTGCTTGGAATATCCATATTAGTTTGAAATAGACATATAATATTTTGCGATACAACCTTGAAATTTATAAAACATGAAATGTTAATAATTATATTAACCTGTAACTGGCAGTTTAGTCTTTAAGCTATCAAAAAAAAAAAAAGAAAAAAGAAAAAGAAAGAAAGAAAGAAGAAATAACAAAAACCAAAAAGAGTTGCTAACCATTAAAATTCTGCTATACCCCATTTTTGTATATAACAACTTAGATTCTTCATTAATAAATTGATGTCCCAATAATATAGATCACTTCTTTATAATAGAATCTATCATATTTAGGAGCAAAGATATCCTCCGTCTTATACTTTTTCTCATTTTAACCTTTATGTATTTGCTATTTTTCTAACTGCATTTTGTCTGAAAGATTTCAGTGCTGCTCCATACCCAATGCCCTCAAATGAATTTGGCATGTTTTGATAGACATAGCCAGCATTTTGACAGCTTGAAAACAATCAGAAAAATGTAACAATGGATTAGGATGACTTTAACTTCAGAAAGATATATGGCAGTTTTGTTCTTCTGTTAAGAACACAAAGAATTTGAATGTTAGAATCTTTTAGGAGAGTTAACATCATAACATTGATGTGTTATTGGAACTACAGCAGAGGGTTGGGAGTGGGTGTCTTTTCAAGCTACAGATTCAACCTATCAAAGTTGGACCACTAATTTTGAAATTACCAGTTGGAAAAGCAGATGCTGATGGACACAAAGGAAGAAAAAAATGCAATTCAGAGCTTCTGTGAACAAAGAGTCTATGACAATTTTTTTTTTTTTCCCAACCGAGCTTTGCAGGTGCACTTTCAAAAAACGATGAAGCTCATCCATTTTTAAACCATTCAACAGAGATAGACAGGAACAATCTAGTGACAAGTGTATAGCCAATACTAAGAGTGAGACCCTTGAGTAAATGTGAATTCCAAACACAGCATGGACACCTCGGGAAGATGATATGCTGGATGATTCCCGTGAAATGCAGCCATCTGTCACAAGTGTGAGGTCCACAGGCCACAGGGGAAAACTGCGGCCGAAGGAAAGCATGTCCTCAGCAGCTGAAGCTCCAGAGACACTGGTTTGTGCTCCAAGAGTTAAAGACACACTCTTAGAAATCCCATGATTCTGGCACCAGATTCCTTTATCTCTTATTTTGTTTTGTTTGTTTTGCTTTTACACAACTTGCTTATTTGGGACTGAAGTGTTGTCAGATGTTAGCTGAAGTCCATCTCCTTAAATAGCAGGGGCAAGGCTTAATGAAAGACAGGAAGTTTGGTCTTTGAATTGTACAGTGAATGTTTTCCATATATCTCTAAATAAAATGTCCCAAACCAAATTAATCCTAGTRTTAACATTTAGGAATAAAACAAATTATTATGTTCACTGTATAATGGTACAAATGAGTCAGAATCACAGCTTTGCCACTTACAATGTGACCTTGTGCACATCAACATCTCTGGATCTGTTTCCTTTATTTCTAACTGGGAATAACAG